GACACGTCCTCTGGTGCCGTCACCATTTCCACCCGTCAGCTCTGCCCGTAACTCACTACACGAGCCGTTATGGCACTGCCTCCCCGAGACTGGGCGCTGTGCTTTTGCTCACCAAGGCATCCCGAGTACCTAGGCTCACAAGCATTTACAGGCTGACTGGATGAGAGGACGACTTCCCAAGGCAGCCCAGTGAGGCCGTGACCGGCCGTGAATGCGTGCGGTCTGTGCTCTGCGTGACCTGGAGACATACCACGTTCTGAGGCTGCTGGACGAGCTTCACCAGGGCGGGATGGCTGTAACCTGGGGAGAGGAGGTATGGTCAGAGCTCAGCACCTCAGCGTCCCACCCGAGCGTCCCATGGCCTGGTGGTTAAGGAAGCCAGATCCCACATGGCCAACTACAATTCAAATTCCAGCCCTGGTGGCTAGAAAAAGCACACCAGGTTCGTGTGTGTGTGTATGCCTCAAATTCTGGCAGGCTGGATAAAAGGAGAGCAAATTGCAGCATGACCACGCCCCCACCGGAAGGCGTTTTCTCCTGCTCCTTCTGTCTCTGTCTCTCTGGTGAGTGCAGGCACCACCTGGCAATTTTTTTTTTAATTAAAGAAAAAGAAAAAATGGATGAGAGATTTAATTGTGCTGAGTTAGAATAACCTCTGATCCTAATGTTAAGTGACAAAAGAAAGACACGGGATACGAGTGTGCTTACGTGGTGGCCGAGTCTCTCTCCAGAAGCTGGTAATAATGGTTGCTTCTGGGAGGGGAATCGGGGATTAGCCTCAGGCTTGGCAAAGATATTGGTCCTTTTCTCCCCAAATTAAAATACAACAACTATATATATATTTTTTTTTTTCAGTTTTAAGTTTTTAAAAAATTTATTCATTTATTTATTTTAGGCTTTTGCCTTAGGGTGCATGCGCTTGTTGGAGAGAGACAGAGGGTAAGTGAGAAATTGCCCCTAGGGGGGATGGCCATGCCGCAATCCCTCCTCCTCTATTCTCTTCTCAGGATTTTGGGTATGTACACACATGTGCTCAGCATGTTTTCAAGCCACCAGCTCTAGGGCTTGAACTGTGGCTGGCCATGTGGGAGTCCAGTGCCTTAACTACACCATCTGTTGGTCTCTCTCTCTCTCTAAAATATATATATATATATATCTTTAGATTTAGTTTTTACTATAGGGCATGTGCACTCACCAGAGAGAGGGAGAGATAGAAAGGGAGAAATCGCCCCCGGTAGGGATGGCCATGCCAGAATCCTGTCTCCTCTATTCTCCTCTCAGGGCACACACGCACATGCACTGGGTCTGAAACTAAACCACACAGTCGACTGTGTGGGATCCAGCCACCTTAGCCACTATGCCACCTCCTGGCCCCCAAATAACCCCCATATTTTCAAAGTTAGTCTGTAGGCTCATTCTGCAGTCATGCTAAACCTGAGCAGGAGGATTTGAATCTTCCGGGCTGTTTTGAGGATGTCTCCATGATTTCATGGCTCCTTGGCCTTCCCCAAGAATCAGACGATTTCCTCTCTCCTGGCAGGACCTTTTTGCCAGCACTGGGAGACGGTATACACCACACGGGAGCACAGGACCGTGTCAAGGTCCAACTCTGAGAGGAGACGTCTATGTCTGACTTCTACATTTTGACTTGAGTTTCCAAAAATCACTTCTAGGCCTCCTGAAATCCTAGAAAGTGGCAACAGCGCCCCTGGGGCTGCAGTGGTGGACTGCCTACTCTTGCCCATCTGTGGTGACGCTGCTTCTGCAGCCCATAGCACACCACAGTGATGCGGGGCCCTCACTGGCCTGGGGAATGGGGGAGGGAGTCTTAGGGTCCCCCAGAGTCAGCACATCATGGCTGCTACTGGGGCCAACCAGGTCTTGGCAGGACTTTTCTTCTCCCTACCCCCGAGCTGGATTGGAGGGGACTGGTGATGACGAGGGGAGAGAGGAGGAGCAGGCGCACCAGGACGGTGTGGTTCCTGGGCCGTGTGACACTGTCTCGATCCTCCCTCTGTTACCACAGAGCTTCCATCCATTGAGCATCTGCTAAGCTCAGGGGCCTTCCTGTTCATTGTTGCCAACCTGGTCAACCACCCTGGCAGGAAGGCCAAGTGTGCAGGAGAGAGGGAGGCCCTGAAGTCCAGAGAACAGCCCGTAAGATCTTCAATGCTGGCAGCCATGTGCTCAGCTCAACAGAGTGTAGTAGAAGGAACATAGAATACGGAGATCCAGCCAGCACGGGAAAAGGCTCCGCTATGAATCTTGGAGCACGAAGTAGAGTTTGTTTGTTTTGCTTTTTGCTAGAGGGCTGTGTACTAGCCAGAGAAAGACGGAGAGAAGGAGGACAAAGTAATCCCTTTCCCTTTATCTCTCCCTCTTGGGATTTTAGACACATATACACACCCGGTGTGATTCTTAAGTCATTGGGTCCAGGACTAAACCACAAGGCTAGTTAAATGGGATCCAGCTGCCTTAACTACCACGCCACAAAGCCAGCCCAAATATCCCCATTTTTAATCATATCTACCTTGTACCTATTTTCTTTGAACCACTGTATTTTTAAATTTAAATACATTTTGGTTTAAGCGAAATACGTATCTTTGAAAGGAGACTTCACGTCACTGCAGTTAGTCGATGCAGTGGTGCAATCTTTACGCCTGCTCAGTGCTCTGAGCCAGGCCTGCTCCCCTCCACGGAAAGAGATTAGCAGATTTAGACAAGTATTAAAGACCCAGCACCATCCATGGGAGCCTTTAGCCTCCCTGGATAGAATCAAAAAGATTGAAAGAGACCTGCAAAGCCCTGTGGTTTTCCTTGCCTGCTGGCGGAGGGGGTGGGGATTAGAAGGGTGGAAGTGGGGGACCTGGGGAGAGAGCTATTAACTTTCTTCCCCCGCCCCTCCCACACCCCTCTCCCAGGCAGCTGCTGGGCTCGAGGCTGGAAAGTGTCATTTCTCAAGGAAGGAACACTGTGGGTTTTTCCTACTGGTTTTTGGCCAAAGGTCCATGGTGCTGGCCTCTTATCACCCGGCTGCCTGGGCGTTTATGACTTCCCTGCCTCAGTAGATAAGCCTATGCCAGGGAAATCTCATTAAATCTCATGAATGCAGCTTGTCTTCTCTGGCTCTGAAAGAGAGATGAAAGCAGTCTCTCTGCTTAGGAAAATCCCACCCTAGGCTTTCAACCACTGTGGGACCCCCACATTGCAGGGAGGGACTGGGCCAGGTGAGGGTGGGCCAGGTGTGATCAGGTGCTGCCAGAGAAGTGAGCTTAGGAGGCAGAAAGGTGCTGGTTCCCGCCCAGCTTAGCCTTCCACGCCCTGGAAATGCAGGTGAGTCCCGCAGTCTCTTGAGGCCCCATCAATAAGCCCGAGGTGATGCTGAGCACTGTTCTAGAACTCTCATAGCTATGTTAATGCATAATGTGCAAGGCACTGAGCAATATGCTGGGCTTACAGTAAAATCTCAGTAGTATTAATTTAAAATCATCTCAAAAACGACAGAGATGGGAGAAAAAGTGAGCAGGATGAGAACGTTTAGAACCTGTAGTTTTAAACAAATTTTGCTCACACATATGCTGGCTGGCATCCCAGGGATGGGCCAGGGTCCCTCAGCTAGCATAAGGTGAAGTGGGATTTGAACCCAGGATAACTCAAGAGATCGTTCCTTCTGCTCCGACACAAGCGGGGATGGGTCTTGGACAGTGTTTGAACCCTGAACACCTTCAAAGCTTGAGGCATCCTGGCATGATGAATCGCTCCCAGGGAATGAGTCACCTGCTGGGAATCCACCCACTGAAGAAGCATCTGCCACCCCAGCCTCAGACTGCAGCTACCTGAGCTAAATGAGCCCCGTCTCACTGTCCGTGTGCCCTTCACAGCCGCCCGTCACGCTCTGCATGGCTGGGAGAGCCTGCGGGGCAGGCGCCGGTGCTGTCCCACCCAAGTCACTTTACCAGTCGCCATCTCCCAGTTGCTGTGTGTTTGCTGATAATGGTTCCAGCTGCCTCCTTCTCTGGGAAGTTGCCCTTGGCAAATGGAAGGTGCTTGGCCTAGGAAATTGCCCACGACTTGGTCCTCCCCCAGGGCAGCTGATGGGCAGTGACTGGCTGACACAGGGGCCAAAAAAGCCAGCCCTTTGCCCCTGTCTGGGGTGCATTCATATTCTAGAGTCTCCTAAGAGTCAGGCTGTGGCTGGTCCCATCCTTTTTAAAAATGTCTTCCTCCCCACTTGCTGTTTCCCTCTCTCTCTTTTCCCTGAGTCACCCTCAATACACCATCACACCGGAATCCTTGCCTCAGGCTTTTCTTGCAGAAAACTCAACCCAAGTCACCCAAATTGTGGACATGGGGGCTGCAGAGCCCCGGGCTCACGTGCTAGCTATGACTCCTCTGCCGACTGCCTAACCTTTCCAGGATCTGCAAAATGGGGACACTACGGCATATTTCTCTCTCGGGGCTTGGGGATGGAATACAGGAGAGAAGACTCGGAATGTGCCTCAGAACTGCTCTGCAGGTCACTGGTTCCTTTCCCTGTCCTTGAGGGAAGTGCTTGGCAGCTGACAGGGATGTGCCTACGAGGAGGGCCACCTACAGCCCGAGAGCCACTACTGAGAGAGAGGTGACGTGAGAGGGCGGACCATGCCGCTCTTACCTATGGGGACGGAGGAGATCTGGGAGTAAAGGTCCAACATGCGGTTGCCGTCCACGTCGACCAGGTAATTGCCACGGCTCTCTTCATAGTTGCAAAAGAAGTGCACGGCCTCTGCATTCTTGGGGAGAGAAGACACTGGCTCAGGCTCCCTGCAACGCCCAAGATTCTTAATGTCTCAGAACTGCTTGATCGGGTGGCCTCCACCCCCGTCCCGCCCGTTCAGTGGATACGCTGGGTGTTGCGGGTGCTGGCAGGTTCATTTCCTGCTCTGGGGCTTGCTTTTGAATAGCTCATTAAGCTCTGCCTTTACAGTGCATGAATTCTCTGTGCGTGCCTCATACACGTGGCAGAAAGGCTGAGCCATCAATCTGAAGTAGATTCTCGTAAGGTACATGGTAGGCCTTAAAACCACCACTAAGGGGGCCAGCAGGTGGCATGGTGGTTGGGAATGCTGGATTCCCACATGGAAGACCATAGTTCTAGTCCCGGACCTGGTAGCTTGCTTTCTCACTTTCTCTCTCTCTCTCTCTCTGTCCCTCTCTGGTCAAATTAAAATAAATAAATAAAGATAAATAAAATAATTATAAAAAAATTAAAAACACTACTAAGAAAACACAAACTGAGGCCAACAGATGGCATGGTGGTTGAGGCACTGGACTCCCATGTGGCTGACCACAGTTAGAGTCTTGGACCTGGTGGCTTGCTTTCTCACTTTCCCTATCACTCACTCTCTGGTCTCTTTTTTAAAAATTATTAAACATAATAGGAAATGAAATAAATAATCCCTAAGAAAAACAAAAACTATATAGTGATCATTGAAGAAATGAACATGTTGCCTTGGAAAATAGTCACTTAGTGCAGGAAAACAATAAAACAAATCTGTAAAAGGAACAGAGGACTGAAAAGAGACAAGACAGAATACAGAGCAGAAGGGCAGACATAATCGCAGCCACATCAATAACAGGGAGCTGCAAGGTGGCATGTTGGTAAAACACGGAGCTTCTGCGAGGCAGACCCACACGGGAGGGTTGCTGTTCTCATCCTCCAGGGACCTCTCTGAGTACACAGGGCGCACACGTGCCTGTGACCCAGGCTGCTGAGGCTGGGAGTGGATCGTGGCTCCAGACTCTTCTGGAGTTATTATTTTTCTCTCTCACTTGTGGAATAGAAAAGCTTTAAAAACATAGGGAGGACTGGGTAATAGTACAGGGCAGAACATGATCTGTGAGGGCTGACCCATATGGGAAAGTTCCAGGTTTGAGTCCAGAGACCTCCCTGAGGATGCCTGACACCACGTGCCCATGGTCTGGGGCTGGCGAAGGCTGCGGGTGGATTGCGGCATGAAGATTCAGGTGGGGGCACGGACTCTCTGTCTCTCATGGAAGAAATACAGAAACTTCAAAAAGAAAAGATCAGTCTCCTTTTGAAAAAAAGCTAGAAGAGCTTTCACTAGTATCAGTCAAATTAGACTACACAGAGAGATGCTGTGACAATAAAAGGGTCAGGCTGGCTCTGTAACGTAGTGGCTAAAGGAGTCGAACCTCACCGGCCTGACTGCAATTTGAATCCTGGCCCCTGCAGCTTGAAAAACTCACCAGGCGCATATGTGTGCATGCCCCAAATCCTGACAGAATGGAGAAATGGAGGAAAAGGCTATTGTGGTGTGACCATGTCCCATCGTGGGGTGCTTTCTCCCTCTCCCCATCTCTCTCTGTCTCTCTCTCACAAGCATGCATGACCTCTGGCAATTAGAAAAACTTAAAAGGAAAACTATTTAAAGGGTCAATCCACTAAGAGGACAGTTATAAACAGTATTGCAAAATGTGTGAAGCAAAGCAGAATCAGAGGGGAAAGCAGGTCTACAGCAATGGTAGGAGACTTCAACATCCGGAGTTCAATAGTGGATGGAACAAGTAGGCAGATTAGCGAGGAGACAGACAATTGGAATGACACTCTTAAAAGCGGCTGGACCTAACAGACTCCCCAGGACACTCCAGCCAACAATGCCGGAATAGACACTCTTTTCAGGAACATATGGAACATTCTCCAAAACAGACCATATGCTAGGCCATCGAAACAGGCTCAATGCATTTAAAACCACTGGAATCACATAAAAGATGCTTTCCAATCACGATGGAATGAAACCAGAAATTTGTAACAGAAAAACATTTGGGAGATTCACAAAAACGTGGAACTTAAACATGACCTAGATAGCTAATAAGTCAAAGAGAAAATCAGAAGAATAGTTAGGAAAAAGGTTTAAACGGCAGCTACATTAAACAAACAAAAATAAAGTCAGCACAGATTAAGCATCTGTCCCTCAGCTAAACTGTAACAGAGAAACAATGAGAGGAGGGTCCCTCCGGCCCCTTACCTGAATTATATTCAGCTGTTTCATTAACTCCTGCAGGAAGAAAACAGAGGCATTATTGTCAAGATACACTCTTGACAAAATAGCTTAAAATCTTCCATGTTTCCCTGAGTCTTGGGGTTTTTCTCTATCTCTTGCCAAAAAACGAATACTTCAACATATTATAAATATTTAAAAGTTACTTAATATAAATAGTCGGCAGGAAACTATCCCGTTACACAGTTAAATGATCTGGATTGCAATCTGAGAACGGGCACGTGCCTGTGACCCTGGCAGGCTGGGAAAGGCCTGGGGCAGGACCATGGCATGAGACCCCGTTGAGGGTACTGAGTTCTATCTCTGCCTCCTCCCTCCCTTTCTCTCCCTCTCATGAAAGGAAGAAATAAATAAACTTTAAAAAAATTATCTGAGAGGCCAGCAGGAGGTGTAGTAATTAAGGCGCTGGACTCGCATAGCCAATCGTAGTTCAAGTCCTGGACCTGGCAGCTTGAAAATCCTGCCAGATGCATGTGCACGTGTGCCCCAAATTCTGAGAGGAGAATGGAGGAGAAGTCATTGCGGCATGGCCATCCCTTCTGGGGGGTGATTTCTCACTTTCCCTCTGTCTGTCTCTCTCTAGTGAGTGCACTCACCCTATGGCAAAAAATACAAAAAAAAAAATCTGGGACCAGCAAGTGGCATGGTGATTATGACAGCTAGATCCCAAATGGCTGACCGGATGGTTCAAGTCTCAGATCCAGTAGCTTAAAAAACAAAACAGACACGTGTGTGTGTGTGCCAGAACTACTGAGAGGAGAATGGAAGAGAAGGGATCGCACTGTGGTAATCCTCCCGGGAGTGGTGAGAGCGTTCTCACTTTCCCTCTCTCTCCCAACCTTTCTGCCTCCGTCATGTGCATATGCCCTGTAACAATTTTTAAAGAAGAATTATTTGATTTAACTTTATTCATCATCATTATTATTTTAATTTGACCAGAGAGAAACAGAGACAGAGAGAGGGAACGTGAGAAAACAAGCCACTGGATCTGGGACTCAAACCACACGGTTGGCCATATGGGAGTCCACACTTAACCATCATGCCACCTTCTGAACTCCCATAACAAATTTTTAAAAAGTTATCCGTATGACAGACAGACTGGAAATTTAGAAACTTAAAGATAAAATAAACAAAAAGTTTTAGCAAAAAAAAAAAAAGTAAAAAGTGTCTGTAGTGTTCATAAAAACCTGAATCCTCTTTTTACTTAGGAAAAAGCAAGGCTTTAACATCTCATTATAAATATAAACTAAAATCAACTGAAAATACTGATTTGGGGCCAGCAGATGACATGGAAGTTAAGATGACTGGAGCCCACATGACCGACTGCAGTTCGTTTCCCAGACCTGGTGACTTGAAAAACACACCAAGCTCTTGTGTGTGCATATCCAAAACCCCGAGACAAAAATGAGGAAGGGATTGCAGCATGGCCATCCTCTTTGTGGGTGCTTTCTCACTTTCCCTCTCTCTCTTTTTCTATCTCTTTTGGTCTCCCATGAGTGCATGCACCCTATAGCAAAAAATTTAAAAAAATAAAAATAAAAATTTGCATATCAAAGAATCTTTTATAATTATAAACACTCCAAAAATCAATTGTGCAAATCTATACAGAAATGAGAACTGGAAACTAGTTGCTTTGATAATATGAAGGTTTCAGTTCCAAAAATAATTCAACATAAAATAAACTTTAAACAATTAGTGCTGGAAATGATATACTATCACATGTAACTACAAGATGATATAAATGGCAAGAATATGAAAAGTTATTCCAAGTATTTTACTGATATTAAATTAAAACCCACCCCCCTAGAAATATGCATGCAAATAGTATCTCCTTTTTGTTAGAAAACAGAATAACTACATTTACATTAGTGCAAAGATTTCTGGAATTATAAAGTTGTTGCAATAACAAGAGGAGTATCTTTTGATAGTAAAAAAAATGACATTGGGGATAAAAATCTGTAAACCATGCAAAGAAGACATAAATTTGCATTAAAAAGGTTTACATCATTATCCCCTTGCCTAGAAAAAAACACCCTTCTTTGTCAAATTCCACCTCCTTATCCTCCAAGGCGCAGTTCAAGGGCATATGCTATCCAGGCGCATGCGTATAACATCACCCTGTTCTTCAGCTGTTGACTGGATCATCTACCCAGCCCTTCCCAAGCTAGATGACTTGCTCTGGCCAAAGTGTGAGTTAGAAGTGATGGCAGCCAGCATGGAGCGCAGGCCTCAACAGACCTACAGCAAGCTCTCCTCTTGCTGGTATGCACCCTGACTGTTGCCATGAGAACTAGCGCCATCTAGCCTCCTGGAGGACGAGAGACAGGCAGAACATAGGCAAGTCACTGCAGTGACCTGAGATACAACTAACTTGGAGTCCAGCCCAGCAGAGCTGCCTCCCCAACTCCCAGCTAACCCAAGATGCATGCACAAACTCTGTGCTGTATCCTACCAAGTTGTCTGTGAGAGTTTGTTATGTAGCATTATTGTGGCAGTGGATAACTGATAGATCTCCTCTCTGAAGCCTTTGTTGAGTTCCTACAGCAGAATGGCTTCAGTTAATGTCCCAGATCTCTAGTTGCGCGTCTCTGATAGCTAACAACGCAGGCCCCTGTGCTCTTGCCCTGCTTGGCTATGCTCTTGCTTTCTATATAGGCCCCTCCCTCTTTGTGGAAACATGCCACTTGGCTATGCTCAACTTACCCGAGATCTAGGTCCTGGGACTTCTGTCTTCATCAGAGGCCCATCATAATCAAATTCCACGTCGACTTTGGCTGCGGCTTGACTGATGTGTCTGGATCCTGCGGTAAACAGGGATGTTGAGAACTGCTGGTGACAGCAGAGAGGATAAGGATTCTGCCCTAACAGATGTCCAATATCCACCCCATCTCAGTCAGACCACCCAAGACCACCGTCAGGATAGACCTGGGCATTACAAGGATGCTGCAGATTTCAAAAGTGGGAAAACCCAGTGTCATTGAAGTCGTAGGCAAACGGGTTTGCTGCTGTCCTACTGGGGTGAGTATGAGCTGACGCTGGCCTATTCCTTCAACTGAGCAGCTTCATTTTTTAGGATTTATCCTAAGAAAATAAAGGGACCAGTACGAAAACTGTGAATAATCAAAAACACCCATCATCAGAGCCGGACAGTGGCATAGGGGTAAAATGTAATATTCTACAGGCTGACCCACAGGGTTCAGGTCTGGAGACCTCCCTGAGTACACTAAGCACTTGCTTACCCATGATGCACACTGGTTAAACCTGGGTGTGGATCGCACTGGGGCCCTTTGGGTGTGCTTTCTCTCTCTCTCCTTTTCCCTTACGCAGATAAAAGGGTTTATTCACTTTCCAAGAGAGGAAAGAGGCCAGACGTGGAGAGTTGCACTCGTGTCTCTTTTTCTCTTCGTCTCTCTCACTCACAAAGGAAATAATGAATATAGTGAATAAAAATAATAATGAATAACAATGAATAAATAAGATTAATAGTAAACTGAAGAAAATATTTCTCATAACATTGTCTATAACAACGAAGAGGAAACAACCTAATTCCTAACACTGAAGGGCAGCCAGTAGAATAGGACACAGTCAACCATGTCATGGGAGAATATGCACCAATAATTGTTTCAAGGTAGAAATTCCAAATTTTTATGGATCTGGAAGATGCTCATGGTGCTACCATGTGAAAGGCCAGGATATAAAAAATATCCAACTTTTGTAAAGATTTAATCTACACCCAAATATACATAAGACCAGAGTTTCTCCCCCTGGATACACTGACATCTGGGATGCACATCCTGCATTGCAGAAGGCCATGCAGTGTGCTGTGGGGCATTTAGCAGCATCCCTGCTCTCCAGCATTGGGTGCCAGGAGTACCTTCCCACCCAGCTGTGTCCCCCAAATCACCCAGGAGGGAATAATCAAATTTCTAAATTCACAGGCTTTTAGCTCAGCATGGAGCTGCAACTCAGATTGCCTCAAGCCCAAGCCTTGTTGATCCCTGAGTGAAAGTTAGCCTTGGTGCACCCAAGATACAGGAGCAAGGCCGTCAGCCAGTGGCGCTAGAAACCCCTTACTGTTGTTGTTTATCTTTCTCCTTCCTGGTACACATTTGCTGCTTGGGAAACCTTAGTTCCCCGTACTGGGACTGCCATAATTGTGTCCAACCAAGGAATTGGTGGGCACACTTTTGACCCTCTCCACATATACATAGATATTTACATACACACTCAGACGAGGGGACTACAACAAAGTATAGAAAAATGAAGTGAAACAATGAGTTGATTTTGGTGTGAAAAAATAGAAACCCATGCATAATTTATAATATGTATTTTCCATAAACATTTTAAAGACTTCTCTATATATCTGTGTCTCCATTACACAGAAAAGGAAACTGAGGCTCAGAGAGATTAAGAAAAATGTCAGGAGGCCAGCCAGTGGCATGGCAGTTAAGGTGGCTGGATCCCACATGGCTGACTTCATGGTTCAAATCCCAGACACAGTGGCTTGGAAAACATACCAGATGCATGTGTGCACCTGCCCCAAATCCCAAGAGGAGAAAGGAAGTAAAAGGATTGTGGTGTGGCTATCCCCTGGGGTGGGGTGGTGGTGGGGGGTAATTTTTCACTCTCTTTCTGTCTCTGTCTCTCTCTGGTGAGTGCACGCTCACTATAGCCAAAATTAAAAGAAAAAAGCGTTAAGGTCTCATGTAATACACATGCAAATAGCTTGTCAAGCTAAACAAAGCCATGCTATTAGAAAACATGAATTCATCTTAATTTTTCATATTTGCTTTAGTATCAAAGAAGGTTTCTGAATCGATTATGTAACATAATGCAGTCTTTTGAACTTAAAGTCCAGTTGCAATATAGCACTGTACTTATTTAAGGTAAAGAAAGGAGTTTTTGTTTTCTCCCGTTTGATCTTGCAGAGGGACTTTCTAAGAAGTTATTCCCTTAGAACAGAGTCGAAGGTCATGGGATATACTGATGACTTTTTTTTTACAATAAACTGTTTCTTCCTTGGCTGGAACTCAGGATTTCTGGACAACACCGAGTCTAGCTAGATCTTCATGAAGAGGAATGCTTGTTTTGATGAAAATGGCTCTTTGCTGGTGCTGATCTTGCTTTGTTTCCAGCAAAGGGTGAAAAAAAAGAATCAAAATTAGTAACCTGGCCTCAGTGGTGGACACACAAGTCCTCCTTTCTGTTTTCCCAGAAAGTGCCTCGTTATCGCATGTTAACAACTGGATTCCTTGGGAGGTGTGGAATGGAAATGCTGGGAACAGAGGCAGCGTGCAGAGGAAACCGCAGCTGAGCGGGTCCTGACAGGACTGGAGTGTGGGGTCATGTGGAGCTGCAGCTACCAGAGTGCGGGACTAGAACCAAGGCAGGGGAGGTGGCAGAGAGAGCAGGGCTGCCACCTGGGATCAACAGGGCACAGATGGGAATGTCGAGGGCTCGGAGCAAAGCAGACGTTCTGTTCTAAGAACCACAGCAGTTCCTATCATGTGCCAAGGCTTTGTGAGTGATGGAGGGCAGGTGAAGGCCCACTGGGCAGAGCGCCTAAGGCTCAGCGCCTAGGAGCGTGTTAGCAACGTGCTGTCTACCAGGAGGAGAAGAAGGGACGCTAATATATTTTAAGCTCCTACTATGTGCTAGAAAAACTTCCATGTGTTTGAATTAATCCTCAACTCTCTTATGTGTAAGTATTGTTGTTCCCGTTTTCCGGATGGGGTCAGAGAGATTAAGTGGCCTTCCCAAGGTCACACAGCTAGCAAGTTGCAGAGTTAGGACTGGATCCCAAGTTCATGCAACTCCAGGGCTTCTACTTCTCCTGCTGTTCCTCAGTTTTGACTTTATAGGGAGGAAAATAACTAATACCATGATAATGAACGCCCTGGTAATGGTGATATAAAATGCCCTATACCACACACGGCAAGTGAAGGGTGAAAGGAATCTTTTTTTGGATCTCATATCCAGTCCCATAGCAGATACCAAGTGCGTGCTGAGCACCCCAGGCGAACAGACCAGGAAGTGTCCTGAGCAATTGATGCGGGTTATCTCATTTAATCCCTACACCCCCATGAGGTCAGTGTCAGTATTCTCATTTACAGGGAAGACTCCGAATCAGCGAGGTTGACTGGTCCGCCCAAGGCCACACAGCTAGCCAACGGTAGAGCTGAAAGTGTGCCTGCCTGGCCTCGTCCCCAGGTGCAGCTGCTCCTTACGTCATGATAAACCTATCGCAAGTGGAAGTGATCGTAAATCGAAAATGCCTTTCGTACACATAATCCACATCGCAGCTTCACCTTGCCTGCCCTAAACATGCTCCGAACACTGACGTTAGCCTAGAGTTGGGTGAAATCGTCCAGTGCAGAGCCTGTTCCATGATAAAATGTAATTGCCATGTACCACGCCACGAGTGGCAATGGCGGCCGTACGGGATCCACAGTGTGGCATTCCCAGCTGCGGCCCGCTCTGTGTCGGGGCCGGTCATCCTGTGAAGGTAACTGATGCTCCCTTCCAGTTTCCCTCGTGCTGGCCTTTGCCATGAAACATTTGCAATGGAGCAACATGCTCCTCCCAAAGGTGAATTATTGTTAGGTCATTGGGAAAGAAATGATTTATTTTTCTATGCAAAAATGCATCACAACTTTCCCGACAACCCAATATCAAAAGCACAGAGAAGAAAAATAGTTTGAATTAATATAGAATAACCTAGCATTTTCATTCATGAGAGAAATGGCATACCCAGAAGGCAAGACTCACAGTCTGGACCCAGGGACTACACAGTCCACTGAGCCCATCCCCTGGACCCGGTGATGTGCACTGCCTTCAGTGGTTATGCCCATCCGGGGGCTCACTGAGCAGTGTTCTTAGAGAGTATAAGCAAATGCCATGTTCCCAGACAGTAAAAGTTCCACATATAAGCCTGGCCAAAGTCGAGGGCAAGTCCAATGGAGTTGTTTGCTCTGCTTTTCTTTAAACAAAACAAAACAAAACAAAACAAAACAAAACAAAACAAAACAAACATATCTGCCCCTGCAACCGTTTGCCCCACTTATTTTTTGATAAAATGCTCTCAGCAACATGGAGAAAAACATTTAATTTCTACTCAGAAATTCTGCTCATTCTGATGTCTCTTCTCAGTCTCCGTGCCCTATCAGCCTAGGATTTTATATATATATATATATATATATATATATGTATATACAGTGTGAACCAATGCCATAGGAAACACTATCTCAGGCCATTAACAATCACACGTTTACTTGGCTCCAATGGGTGGATACACCTCTGAGAAGCATCTAAACACAGTGAGGTACAAGCAAGTTGTGCCTTCCATTTGGGGCACCCTCTTTTGCTTCAAAGAAGTAGTTGCCATGAGGTGAGCTGCTCTATAAAAAGGTCTACACATCAAGGAACTGAATCCAGCTACAACCATGTGAGTGAGCTTGGCAGTGGGTCCTCTGATCTCCAGTGAGCCTTCGGATAAGACCACAGCCCCAGTGGACAGCTCAGCTGCACCCTCAGGACAATGTGTCTGGTACCAGAGGATCCAGCTAAGCCATCCCCAGATTCCTCATCTATAGAGACTGTGAGATAATAAAAATGCATTATCTGAAGTTGCTGAGCTTGGGGATGTTTGTTATGTGGTGACATATAACTAATACGGTGGTGTGGTTCCTAGAGCCAGACAGGCTCAGCTCAATGTCTGGTTTGGTCACTTGCTAGCTCTGTGACTCTGGGAAAGTTACTTAATTTTTCTGAGTCTCAGTTTTCTTGATCTTCTGGAACCGTGGTGAGAATTAGACAGTGGGGTGTTCATTGATGAGACTCACTTGCTGAGCTGCCCAAGAGGCAGAGAGAATGAACTGGCTGAGAGAGGCCACAGGGACAAGGAGCCAGTGCTGCTGGTTAGTCGGGTGTGGTGGTAGGGAGAGGGTTATGGGAGGCTGGAACATCCCTGGGAGGATATCTCTTGCCCAGTGCCCTGAGGCACAGTTGGCCTTTGGGTCAATTACAGAGACTTTGAGGCTTTCTGTTTCTTGGGAGTGACCTCAGTGTGAGTTGTCCCAAAAGACCCCTATAGCGATGGCCTAGGCCCTCCTGGCTGTCGGAGCCACCACCTACGTGCAGGCTCCTTGCCCACTGCTGAGCTGTCCACCAAGGCTGGGGGCACATGCAGAGATGGGAGGTGGGAAGGGGAGCGACACCACTGGTGCGTCTATCCCTAGGACCCTTGCAGCCCAGGAATCCCTGGTCGGGATATGTCTCCATTAGGACCAGCATGTGCCACCACCGCCCAGGGCTTACCGATCACCAGCAGGCGGCAGTTGTGCTGGAAGCCGCAGGCCAGTCGGTGGGCAAGCAACATGGAGGCCATGGCCCGCCTTCAGGAGCAGGGACCCCCTTCACTCGCTGCCGCCCTGCAAGAAACCAGAAACACAGGCTCAGGCCCTCGAATGCCATTTCCCTGCTAGCCACGTACCCATCCCACCACCTCTCGACCCAGTGCAGAAGGTTCAGGCTGAAAGTGCAACACAACCAAAGCGGACGCTACACTCAGTGTGCACTTTGGTTCACGTGCACGTCCACGGGCCTTCACCACACCTCAGGTAGGTTTAGCTCGCCATTTTCTAGATGGAAAAACAGAGCAAGGGCAAGCTGTGCTCTGCGAAGCGGGAGGACTTGGGGAACTTCAGAGCCAATGTCATGGGCATCGCTCCCCGTGGGAAGCTCCCCCTGGAACAGAGGTCACTGGGCTGTCCAAGAATCTGGGCGCCCCAAGGAGGGTCTGTGGGCCCAGGGTAGGGGATGCACCACCCTGGCACAACCAACCATCCCACTTTGCTCAGGGCTAAGAGGTTCTGGGATGTGGGACTTTTCATTTGGAGACCAGGACAGTCCCAGGCAGAGAGGATGGCCACCTTGCACAGCCTTGGGGAGTCAGGTCTCCGAACTCTGCCTCCCGCTTCCCAGCCTTGCTGTGCTGGCTGCTATTTCCATGGTGGGCTGGAACATACCATTGGTTTCTTTTCACCTACTGCCTCTCCCCACTCCCAGGCCCCTGGCCCAAACCACCATTCAGATATGTCCTCTGTGCATCTTTCTCTTTATGGATCTTCTGCTAAAAGCCTGGTTGTTATTTGGCACAAGTATCTTTGGTTCACGTGCATGGTGCTGTTTGTATCTCAGAGCAACGATGGAGTCCTTCATTCACATTACTCTTCACGGGCCCTGACCCCGGAATCCTTCCCGTGTGCCGTGTGCTAAGCACTTCTCGTTCAGAGCTACTCATGCTGACTATCATTACTGTGAAAGCACAGAGCAATGCACAGTGGTCTCCTTTTTACAGAGAGATTAAAATGGTCGCTTTGAAAACAGAACTCGGACCTGCCTGACCCCAGAGACAGCAGACTCCACCAGTATGCAATACCGAGTCCAAATGCTCCATAGAAGTCTGTCCACTCATTCTGCAGCACACACTCCACTGAGCACGAATTTTGCATCAGGTACTGTTTCTCTGGCTGGGGCACAGGGTGAATGAGTCAGGCATGGAACTTACATTCCCATGAGGAACAAGGACAGTGATATAGAATACGCAAACAAGGAAAAACAAACAAGGGACATAATTAAGACGGGGGAGTGCTTTGAAGGAACAGCAGGAGCTAAGATCATGGTTTACTGAATGTCCTTCATGTGCCAGTACTTGCTTTCTTTCCCTTTTTAAAAAATGTATTCATTTATTTCTTCCATATGACAGGGATAGGGGGAGGTACTCCCAACTGGGTCTTTATGCCACAAGCTACCTCCAGCCTCAGCCAGTGTCGGATTGTGGGGACACACATGCATTTGACCAGCCTGTGCAGGGAGGTCCTGGGAGGTGAACCTGGGACCTTTCCACATGGGTCCAGTTGCATTGTCACTATGCTGCTGTCTGGCCCTAATGAGCTGGTGGTTTCAGAAATACTCATAACAGTAGGGACAGTTATCTCCCATTTTATAGATGGGAAAACTGAGGTCAGAAGTGCTATAATTTAACTCATGTTTATTACAGCATTATTCATAGCAGCTGAGAGGTGGAAGAAAACTAGATGTCCACTGACAGATGATAGGATTAAATGTGGCCTTCCACTGGAACATTTAACCAGCCCCATGAAAGAAGGGAGTCTTGTCATATGCTGCAACAAGGATGAACCTGGAGGGCATTGTGCTGAGTGAACTGAGCCATGGACAAACACTGCGTGACTCCTTTTCATGATGTATCTAAAGTAGTCCTCCATTGGGAAGAAGGATGGTGGTGCCAGGGGTCAGAGGATGGGGGAGTTGTTATCCTGTGGACACAGAGTTTCAGTTTACATGGGAGAAAGTCCAGAAGATCCATGGGACAAGGATCATATAGTTAACTATACTGTATTCTTACAAATGGTTAAGATGTAAACATTATAACATCTCATTATAATTTTTTTTAAAGAAGTGGTATCAGCAAAAGAAACAATAATTAAAGTGAAGAGACAACACTTGGAATGGGAGAATATATTCGCAAACTCTCCCTCAGATAAGGGACTGTTAACTGGAATATACAGAGAATCAAGCAGCTTACCTACAGAAACAAAAACAAAACCCAATTAGAAGATGGGCAAATGAGCTGACCAATTCTCCAAGACGTATGGACAACCAAAAAGCATATGAAACACATGCTCAACATTCCTTATCATAAGGGAAATGCATCAAAACCACAGTGAGATACCACCCAACTCCAGGCAGAATGATCACGATTCAAAAAATAAAGAATAAGTGCTGGCGAGGCTGTGGTGAAAAGGGAACTCTCCTCCAGTGTTGATGGGAATATGAATTAGTACAATCACTATAGAAAACAATATGGAGGTTCCTCAAAGACCTACAAACCGAACTACCATACGATACAGCAATTCCACACTTGAGTATCTACTCAAAGGACAAGAAAATGCTCAACTGGCAAAACGCTTGCACATCCATGTTTATTGCAGCTTTATTCAAAATTACTAAGATATGGAACCAACCCAAATGTTCACAAATAGATGAATGCATTGAAAAAGTAAGGCGTATGTACCCTAAAGAATACTACTCAGCCAGTAAAAAAAAGTGAGGCCCTGGCCTTTGATAGAAAGTGGACAAATATGGATGATTTCATGCTAAGTGAAGCAAGCCACACTCCGAAAGCATCCCCACTGAATATAGACTGAATGACTGCACTCTATGGCAGAAACGGAAAGACTGAAGGCATACAGGCATGGAAAGTAACTCTGGATACCAGAGACAGTATGGGAGGAGGTCAGGAAATGGAGGGAGGGAATCAAGAAAAAAAAAAAAAAAGGCAAAACATTCAACAGACCAAAAAAATGGAAAATTAACTGTTGATGACAATGTGTATAGTAATTTCTTTGACTGGATTGACATGAATAGGAGGTATTTATGCTGGGAAAATTTGTTTTCAATGTTGTAAAGATATGCAGAGATTGAGGGGCCAGCAGGTGGTATGGTGGTTAGGACAGTGGACTCTCACTTGGCCGAACACAATTTGAATCCCGGACCTGGCAGCTTGCTTTCTCACTCTTCTCTCTCTGTCTCTCTCTGATCAAACTGAAGACTAATAATAACAAATAAAATAAAATAAATAATTCTAAAACCAGATTTACGGTGATTTAATATAAAAAATAAGAAATAAAAAACAGTAAGATGTGATATAAGTCACCCATGGACAGAGCAAGTTAGCAATGGTGCCAGGGGTCAAGTTTAGAGATACCTGGCTTAGAATCCTAGTTTATCTCTAACATTTTAAAAATTATTATTTTTTTAAATTACCAGAGGATGTAGGCACTTGCCAGAGTGAGAGAGAAAGCACCCCCCGCCCCAATAAGGTATGGTCATACCACAATCCCTTCTCCTCCATTTTTCCTCCTTGTCAGGATTTTAGGCAGGTGTGCACATGTACCCAACATGTTTTTCAAGCCCTGGGCCAGGATTCGAACTGTGATTGGCCATGTGGGCTCCGGCTTGGTATTCACAGCACACAACTGCTGTGCTATAGGGTTGGTTCTCATGTACAGATGGATTATGAGCTGAGTTTTGACACCTAGCCTTATATCGTGACAGGCCATGAGGCTGGCTCTGCCTCCTGGGTTGCCCTGGCTCTACCCCAACCCTGTGGGGGGTGGGAATCCCACCTTGGTGCTGCATGGGGACCAAGAGAATCTGCCCACCACTTTGATCCTGTGAGGACAGCCTGGAAGAAGCACCAAACCGAGGTGAAGGACATAGACCCAGAAAGACCCTGCAGCTGGAGGGAGGCCTGAATCCACAGAGGCTGATGGAAGAAGGACACACAACAGGTTGGGTTCAGCGTGCCAAGTGCACGGTTGGGGAAGCTGGCAGACTTAGCAGCCTGGGTGAGGGGCGATGGGTGGCCATACCCCATGGCTGTGATGGAAAATGGTGACAGGAGCCAGGCCGTGTTATTAGAAGCAAAGAGTGAACAAAGGAGAAAAGTGGTTGGTATTTCTTCTACGAATGTTAGTGGTGCACCTACTACGTGCAGGCCCTCCACTGGCCATGGTGCACAGGGACTGACCACGTGCCGTCTCTGTCCTCTCTCCCACCCCGGCATCACCACGCAGCAAGCACCAGCTGTGTGCAGGTCCCTGGCTGGTGCTGCCAAGCCCTTGGAGGTAGCTCCTGGGAGACAGAGATAGGTCACTCTCCTGTCTTCACAAACGAGGCAATTGTCTGCTCAGCACACCATGCCTCCCCATTCTCATAAAGTTCCTCCTGCATCTCCAGGAGAGCAGACCTGGCAGCCCCGACATGACCCAGCAAGCCAACTGTGAGTGACAGGACTGGGCTGGGTCAGAGCCCTGGGGGCTGTGGGGTCAGGCACCCTCTACACCTGGAGAGGAGCTGGCACTCAGGGAGAAGCTTCAGATGGGGAAGGATGTGGCCCATGCAGAGAGGAGCCACATGAGGAAGAGAATCCTGGAGGTAGGGGACCCCCTGGTTCCATCTGAAGCCTGGGGCTAAGCTTGGCTGTGGTCACTACTGGGCCTGTGGGAGGGACCCAGGTCCCTTCCTCTGGGAATGAGTGACCAGGGGTGGGGAGAGCCAGCAGTGCAGGCGTGCAGATGTCCCTCCACACAAAAGGAAACATCAGGAACAAAGGAAGAGGGTTCCGGGGCCAGATGATGGTGCGGCTGTAAATCGTGACGCTTTGCGAGGCTGACCCACACGGGAAGGTTCTGGATTCACATCCATACCTTTGAGTGTGCCAGGCACACACTGCTCATGATCTGGGCTGGCTGTGGCTGGGGGGTGGACCACAGGGTTGGGGCCCTGTTGGGGGTGTGTTCTCTCTCTCCCTCTTTCTTGGAAGAAAGGTAATCTTAAAACAAAA